TCAACAGGGAGTTCTAACTGCCTGTCTTGTCTCTCTCTGGTCAAAAATGAGGCTGCATCCTTGGTGAACTGCCAAAACCCTTTTAATGCCAATCATCAAGTAATGCTACGTGAGCACCTAGCTACCTAGCCATCAATTTGTTCCTAAACTATCCATTGAGTTTAGTTTCACATCGACAGGGGCTGTGCCTAGTGGGTCAGACTAGGATCTACCAAGATTTCTGCTTTCTAGTCCAATGCTCATGCAGCTGACATGCAGGGGACACGCAGACTGAACGTCCTAAACATTGAATACACACTCAAATAGATACAATATTTATCTTGCTAATAAGCCAAGGGCAAAGCTATTTTTGGAACGGTAGGTATGTGTCTGCGTTTGAGGAAAAGTTGTAGCGGGTGGTGCCGATAATGAGAGTGTGTTTTGTGTGGGAAGGTGAGGGGAGTGAAGTGGTTGCCTTTGCTAGTGAACCCGGATGGCTCCCCAGAGTGGCTGAGGGAGCTACAGAAGTGAGAACTTCGCTTGGTGGGTGATGTTGCATATGGGTGTTACAGGAAGGTCTCGAGTGACATTTCTGAGAGTACACAAATCAGAGGTATTTGCCTAGGAGTGACAGGGTGGTCGTGTGTTCCCAAGAAAATTCTGGGAGGGAGGCTGGAGTGACACTTGCTGGGATACTAAGCAAGGCAGGAGAGGAAAGAAACAGTAGCAAATGGAAGGGTCAGTGGGGATGCTGGGGCAGTGGGAGGACGGGGCTGTGAAAGTCCAGCTGACAGCCAGGCCACTATGGCAGAGATGCAGAACAGAAGCGGGGTGATGCTGGAATCAACACAATGCACTGAACTGAGGATCACACACCTATTTCACATCCAGGTCTCTCTAGAGACAGTGTGGTCATTAGGCAATCATGGTAGAATTACACCACCCTGGTGACTTAACCCTACCTCTTCAGGGCACAAAGTGAGGGTCTGCATCAAGGACCCAGTTACAGCATGCTGGAATTGGGGTCCTGTAGTTAAGACAGTAGAGGGTGCTGCTACTCTGGCAGAATTTAGCAGGAAGCTAACAGAAGGAAGAAGTAGGTCACAGGGAGGGTTCCATTGGGTTGTTGCTTTTGCACTTTCTTTTTTTCTTTTTTGAGATGGAGTCTCACTCTGTCTCCCAGGCTGGAATGCAATGATGTAATCTTGGCTCACTGCAAACTCCGCCTCCCGGGTTCAAGCAATTCTCCTGCCTCAGCCTCTCAAGTAGCTGGGACTACAGGCGTGTGCCACCATGTCTGGCTACTTTTTGTATTTTTAGTAGAGACAGTTTCACCATGTTGGCCAGGCTGGTCTCGAACTCCTGACCTCAGGCAATCTACCCACCTCGGCCTTCCAAAGGGCTGGGATTACAGGCATGAGCCACCGTGCCCAGCCTGCTTTTGCACTTTCTAAACATACAGTCATCCTTCGGTGCACAATCAACAGAGTGATGACCTTACAATCAATCGCAAAATTTCTCCAGGATGGACTGCAACAGAACCGAGGGGCTAGAAGCCTCTTAACCATTGTATCACTTGGCTTGTGCCCAAATAGCACGAGGCCATAACCATGAATGTTTCTCTACTAAAATGGGAAGAAAAAAAAGGCCTTCCTCATTTTTAATAACTTTATTCCCCAAACTTCAAAAATGAAATTGCCAAGTTAAGAACTTGCCTTGAAAAAAAATTCTAATTTATTATAAAGAAGGTCCGGGGCTTGGGAATTTTTTAATGCAGATTCCTAATTTTCCAAAGTGAGATTCTCCTGTGCATTTGAATAGATTATGCTCGGTATTGCTAGCCCTTAGCACAACGGGAACATTATTAAAACGATCGCATGGGTCTCAGAGGAAGGGCTCTGCGTCTCGCTTCCTTTTTCATTTGGGGGACTTCGTATCAGAGACTGTCCATTTGTTGCCTGTGGAAGAAACTGGGTTTCTGAAGAGGTGATGGAGAAGTGTGCTTAGCTGCCCACGTTGTGAGGAAACAAGTCATACGTGGTCCAAACATGATGAGATTAGACCTAAAGGAATGAGGAGGGAGTGGGCCTTGTTTCCTGAGAGCTCTGTTTTGGACAGGATTCCCTGGTGTGCCTGACCCATGTCCCCATCAGGCTCTGCTTCCCTGAAGATGTGGAGTCTCAAAGAGTGGCTGGTTCTCGGGGATATGAACACTCTAAAGGGAAATGCAGTAGAGTCTCCCCCTAGGAAGCTGGGGTCCATATCTCGAAAAGATAAAGGGAAGAAGTCAGGGGTCCAATGCAAGTTTGCAGAAAGTGCCAGCAGCCAGGCATGCATGGAAGAGCTATTCCTACAAGGGAGCCCCTCCTAGAAGCCCGAAAGAGTGGGCAGAAGGCCCTCAAATACCAGCCCTCTCCGCAGAGAACAGCCTCTCCCCCTAGAGTCAGAAGCCTTTGTTCTGGAGGCCTCCACCAGCTCCCCCATCCCTCCCACTCCACCCCTGCCCGAGCTCCTCTCCCTTAGCCCCACATCCAGCTCAGTTTCCTTGGGAACCAGCTCAGCTTGGGGAAGGCCAATGGCAATTTGGGCATAGCCTAGTGGCTTCGTCAAGGCCATGAAGACCCTGACACCTTGACCTGGTCAGTTCACCATGGACACTGATGCTTCTTGTCAGATATTTCACTCATGGATTGCCAGGGTTACAAATAGATGGCAGCTTCCCCAGGGCAAATTATTCCTTTGCTCTAAATGTGAAGATTTTAAATGGTGACAGTCTGGAGGATCCTCAGAGAGGAGAGCCTTCGGGCAGTCCCTGTATCTGGCTTCTGTCTAAGACCTTAGATAGGGAAGTGGAGTCTCCCTTCTACCTCACAAAGGCTAGAGCAGCTTAGTGGTGACTTCTGGGGAGCTGAGCACCTTAGGACTGCAGCCCACCTCCATCCGTCCCTCAACAGCTGGGATGTATTAATCCAGCTGTATGCTGACCATTAAATTAGGCTTCTGGATCAGCATTCAACACAGGCCCTTGCTGCAGCTCTCCCGCTAATCCCCGCCAAACCAAAACTTCTCCCAGCTGCCCAGGCAGTCAAAACAGGGAGGGGTGGGTGAGAGGGGAGCGGCTGCCATCAGTCATGCCAACGCAGTGTTCTCTGACCTCTCAGCCCTGCCCTGGTCTATCCTTGAGTCTTGGGTATAGAGGTGTGGGCCTTGGCAGCTACCACCTGCTAAATACAGGAAGAGTCCCCATCTCTGTTCCCCATTCTGACTGGAGAGAGAATCCAGTTACAAAACGAGTGGAGCCCAAGTTCCCACCACTGAATCGATACGTGGGCACCGATGTGTGCTGGCTGAGCAGAGTGGGAACGGATCTGCTGCTATCGAAGAAGGACGATCTTGCCCCTATTCTGGCCCCTAGCTTCTCCTTCTCTCACTTCTTTCTTGGGAGGCAAAAGGTTCCCATCAGTTGAGGGCTCCTTCTGAACTTTGTCTCGGAAGCTGAAACTACAGAGGGAAGGGACTTGACATAGTGCTGAATGCCTGGAGGCTTTCAAATACAAGAGCCATGTAAAGGCCAAGCTCAACCCTGTGGCTTATTCATGGAAACTACTGGCATGAGCAGAGGGGTCCCTGAGGATGGGGTTAGGCTGGGAGAGTTGGGGAAGTAATGTGATTTGATATGTGGGAGCGGGGCCGTAGACATGTGCTCAGAGATGGGTGAAGGACCAGGGCTTTTGGACCTTCAAGGGCAGAGCAGTCGAAGGGGTTCCATATGCTGAGTACGCTAGAAAGAGGCCCCAGAGCATCTGGTAATCTCCCGGGGGATGACAATGATGTATAAAGCAGCTACTATATGCTCTCACTAGGCTGGGGGCATCAGGACTATAGTGAGCACAAGCCCAGCATCTGCATCTTAAGACCCCTTTCATGCTGCACAAATTTTCCATGTAGCCCATGAGAACCGCTGTGTTTGATGAGTGAGGGATGGCAGGGTAAGGCAGAGACTGGCTGCTGGAGGAGTGCAGATGGTAGCCTGCCCATAGCACTCAGCGGGCAACTGCTGCACATGGGCAAATGTGAGGATGGACATTCTAGCTGGGTGCATTTCACATCACAGGTGCCCAATAAATAATTGTCGAATTCATATTGACAGGAGAGTGCGAAGGGAGGCGTCAGAGAATGAAGGCTTCTGTGAAAGCACAGACACAAAACTCAAAGTTTCCAAAGAACAAAGGGTGGACAAGAGGAGCACCTGGGGGAAGCAAATAGGAAAAGCGGCTGGTCTCAAGGATGTGGGAGGGCAGCCCCCACAAGCTGGGCAGGCTTCCAGGAGGAGGAGGGCCGACAGCATGAAGACCGCGAGAAGGCACTGCTGAGGAGGGGCTGTTGCAGGAGTGGCAATCGGGGTAGGGGGTGCAGAATATCTTGGGGGGCAGCTGTGTCTGAGCTGAGGGGTGGAAGCTGGGGACCAGAAGAAAGGGGTTGTGGGGTATACAGAAGGAATCTTGGCTTTTAAAAAGTAGAAGCCCAGAGGAGTTCTGAAGAGAACAGAGATTCTCCCCATAGGCAGGCAGAGGAGGACAAGAGCCCAAGTGACGGAGACCGGGGGCCTGACACTCAGGAGCCTCTGAGTAGCAAGTTTCTCAAACACTCAGAGGGCGGTTCCACTCACATCTGGTACCTGGGTCTCCCCAGCTGTGGATTTTGCCCCAGTCACAACAAAGGGGTTTGGCTGGGCTTCTCTGCTGTCTGAGGGGTGGGGTGGGGGACAGGACTGTGGCCATTACTCTAGCTTCCAGTCCTAGGTCCCGGGTTCTGAACCTGGTGACTCCCCTTGGGGTCTATGTTTGCAGGACTCTCGCTCCCCAGGCTGAGGGGGAAGACCCAGGAGTGCCGCCAGGACATGACTGTGGGAGGCCTGGCTCAGCCAGTCAGCCCCTGGAATATCCCAGCCTGCAGCTGGGGCTCTAAGGCCACCACACTCCCTCCCCCATGGTGGGAGGCAGCGGCCCCTGCGCACTCACCTGTGGGCTGTCCTGGTAGGGTGGGGGCGGGACATTCTGCGTGGCCATCATCGTCAGAGCGGGGGCTGGGGAGGCATGTTGCATCATGGGATTGATTCACATGGAGGACCTGTGGGCAGGAGAAAGGGGGCCGCACCGTTAACACCGCCGAGCAGGCCCGCCCTGGGCACCCAGCAGCTCCCTGTGTCCCCCGCTGGGCCACCTGGGCCGGCCGGATGCAGCAAGGGTTGTACGCCCTTCAGGGCAACAAATGAGAGCTAAGGGAGAAGCCTGGGTGGGGAGGGGCTTGCTGTGCTATTTTGACTTGAAAGAAACAATATTCAAATCATATGTAAAACAACCGGTACCCCTGCAGCGGCGCTTTGTTCAGCATCAGCTCAGGCCTGTTGTGCATGTGGGGAGGGGTCCTAAGGGGGAGGAGACCTGCCTGGTAGGAGCACGGGGGACTGGAGACCATTTGGATACCCCTCCTTCCCCAGGAGGGCCCTGAGTCCCAGCCTGATAAGGGTGCTCCTGGCCCCGCTGTTCCCTAGGCTTTCTGGAGCAGCCACAGCGCGCACAGGGGCAGGAGGGCCCCAGGCCAGCTACAGAGCCCCAGGGTCCTCAAGCGCTGAGCTCGCCCCTCCCCAGGGCTAACCACACCTCCTAGTGGTGGCAAGGACACGGGGCCCGGACCCCTCCTCAGACTGCAGCCCCAGGGTGGCTGCCTGGAGGCCTTGGGGAAGGGAAAGAGGCAGGGAATGCCGTCCACTCCTGTACTTTTCCAGGCGCGGGCTTGTGACTATGGGCGTGTCCACAGATGTGCCTGCATATCCTATTAAGCAGGACTTTCCTCAGCCTTGGTTTAGTATGGTCACCGGAATGTGTGGGTGCGGGAAGAGCTGTCAGAGCCAAATGGGCTACCTGCCTCTTTGGCTGGTAGAAGACAGAGGCCAAGGGTGACTTGTGTATGGGAGGGCGGGGGTTGGGGGACTTGCTGGTGAAGCTGGGATGGAAGCAGCACCTCCAGATTCCCAGCTCTGGGTCTGCTCCACTGTTCCCCCCACCTTTTCCCCATCACCAGTAAGCAGGCGAGCTGTGCCCATGAAGCCTCAAGACTTCCTCTTGAACTAGGATGTGGTGCCATAAGTGGAGATAGCCCAGCTGTGCCACCCAAGAAACAGAATGCCCAGAGAGCTGTTGTGCTACAGTAGATGCTCTGAAATGTTTAGATCTAGAAGCCACAGGCTAGTTGCCTGATACGGGGCTGTCCACTGTAGGGTAGGAGGTTGCTAAGAGCCTCTGTGGAGTGCAGGACGTGTTCTTCTCCTGGGTGGAGGGCACTGTTGGTCTAGAAGCCTTTGTGAGCACAGCACTCATACCTCTCCCTCAAGCACCCAGGGCTTCATCCTTTTCCAGCCTGGCCCTTCCCAGGCTCTTCCAAAATGTTCACAGACCTGAATTCTGTGGGAATTTGAGAGTGCTTTGGAGCTGCTATCAACTAAAGGGGCTGGCCTCCAGGGTCGTGTGTGTGTGTGTGTGTGTGTGTGTGTGTGTGTGTGTGTGTGTGATTCATTTGGTTCTTTCTCAGGAAAGGGAAGTAAGAGCTACTCTGACCTGACCTGAGTCTCCAAGGTACCAAGTACACTTTGACCTTCTGCGAAAAGCACTGGAAATGCGTGTTTCACTCAATAGATGTCTACCAACTACCAACTCTGTGCACAGAACTGAGTGAGGAGTGTGGTGAGACAGATGAATGAGGCAAGGTCTTCTCTCCAAGGAGCATGGCTAGGAGAGGGAGGTCATGGTCCTACAGGAGGAAGAAAGTGAGGTGGAGGTGGGTGGAGAAGGCACAGGGAGGGATGGCTCCCCCAGTGCTAAAAACGCCGACTGCGGGCTGGTTCCATCGGCCTCACTGCCTGTTGCTCGCCCCCACCTGGACGGACCACCAGGATATCTTCACAACAGCATGCAGCGCCTCGCCCATCTCACACGCCACTGGTCCCTGAGATCCAATTTCCTTTTGCAAGGGGACGCAGGAGGGGGCCTTGGGGGAGCCTCTCTCTTCAGGCAGGGGAACCAAGGCCTCTGTTCACAGCTGGATTTTTGTCTGCGTGGTGGTCAGCATCCCAGAGAGCCAAGAGCAGAGTGAGGGTTGCAGAGGGAAAAAGGTGTGTGTGTGTGGAGGAGATACAGACTCTTTGAGACATCAGAAGGAACTTCCAGAATTAAGACTTTTGAGATATTAAAGTGGGTGGAGTTTCTCTTTTTTGGACCCTGACAAAATAAAGGAAATAGGAATGTTTCAGGGGACTATGAAACATAGCCTTCCCTGGAACTCTGGCAGAGAAGGCAACTTTGGATAGGGCCCAAGGACCAGGATGGTGGGATCTCAGAGCACGGATCACAGATGCTCACCGGCAGGGGAAACACGTGAAGGGCTATAGCACTGTAGTGCCTGCAGCCTCCAGAAGAGGGAGCCTGGGGGCAGAGTCAGCGTGGGAGCCGCCTCAGGAAGGAGGGCTTTCTCCCCTCTTAGGGGCAACTAGTTCTCTTTAACCTCGGGCTTGGGTCTTTTGGTAACCTCATTCCATGGATTAGAAAGTCATAATGAAGGCAAAACAAAGGAAGCTCAATGAGGGGGCATAGGCTACAGAGAGGCGCCTTTCATTCACATTCTTTTGTTCACCGTCCAATGAATGGAAGGCAGGGTCATTTCAGAGGCGCTGTCCCTAGAAACATTGGTAGCAGCAGGAGGGCTGCCGTGTCTGGGGGTAAGGAGGGATGGCTAAGAGTGGTCTGCACCCAGAGACAACCACCTGTGAGGCTGAGAGGAGACTGGTCAGTCCTGAGCCCACCAGGCTGTGGAGCAGGGCCAGACCCGCCTAGGAAGAAGACACAGGAATAATATTCTGAGGACCCAGATGGCCCTGGACCCTCCCCCTCCTCGGGGTCACCATAGGCCACTAGGCCACTGCCCCATTACCCTCTGGGGGCTTCTCCTGCAAGAGAACAGGAGGCCTTTTCAACAGAGGCTTAAGTTTCCTTCTCTGCTCGCTCAGGCACAGAAGCCTCTGGCAACTTGACACTCCGGGAGCTCAGCTGCGGGAGGACCCTGCACCCATGTCCGGAAGCTGGCTCTTTGCCTCACACCTCTCCACCCACACATGCACTTCCCCGGTTCCTGAGAGGCCACGTGCAACCATCCTGGAGAGGAATTTGGGGATCTGACTTGCCTTATCTGGGACTTGGCTGGGACTTTGCAGTGGGGTGTGGGGGAACTCCTTGAGCCACAGCAGGGGTCCTGGCCCTTTGGGGGAAGCCTGCCTTTTTTGCATTTTCTTTGGGAGAGGGAGAGGAGCAGCAGGCCTGAGCCCCTGCAAACCCACCTCTGGGCTTCAGAGCTTTTGTCACGGACTCTGAGAGGCTGCTTGGCCCTGTCCAGAGGCCCCAGTGCTCTGTCACAAGACACCTGGGCATTCAAGGGGGTCACAGGCAAGACTGCAAATGGAGGCCAGACAGGAGCGTCTCCCACGGAGAGATTTCCCATCGCGAACAGGCTCACGGGGAAAGGTTGCTTTTTGATTTGTTTTGTTCAGTGCTGAAAACCTTTATGATAAGACATCTAGGAGGGAAAAATTCTAACGCAACACTCAACCCCACAATGTTAACCGAGAAGAAATCATTTGTGTCTCCGATATCATCAGAAGAAACTAAAATGCCATGTTAGAGAGCCCAGGAGCCGGCGAGGCAGGGTCAGTGGATGCAGAGTCATAAAAGCACACCCCTTTAGGAAATGGGATGGGCAATCCTGGGCACCCGCCTCCCTCAGCCTCCTCAACCCACTCCCCCCACAGCCCTGTACCACCAGGCCGGCAGTCTGGAGCCCCAAATCCAGTGTGTTGACAAACAGGCTCAGAAAAAAATACCAAGCTCATTAGGAAGGAGCTCATTAGGACTTGTTGACATGAAACCCATTAGACCAATTAACATTCCATTAACGGCCTGGGGCACCAAGGGGTTAATGCTGCTGGGCAGTAATTGGGCCAGGGTGCCGGGGTTGGGGGCTCAGGGCCTTAAGGATGAGACACAAAGTCTAATTGGGAACTCTCTGGCCAGCTGGCCTGACAGCATTTGTTCCTGGCCCCTGACCCTAGCTGAGACAAATTGATGGGGGAGAGGGGAAGTAGGGTCAGCTCGCTTGGCCCCTCACTGTCCCACCCACCTGCCCCAAACTGGAGACTGGGCCCATGGTTGGCACAAAGACAAGGGGGAGGGGACACTCCCACCCTCCTGGAATCTGACAGTCCTGTTTTCTTCCTTCACGCCCTTCCCCCCACTCCCTCTGGTCAAGTTTCTTTCTCAGCCCCGGGAAAGTGAGTCCCTTCTCTCCAGAAACTGCTTTTCAGTGATGTTACAGCCTCGTTCATCTGAAGAGGGCTGGAGTTCAGAGAGAGGGATGGAGGGGATGGTGGCCCTGGGTCCACCTGCCTTCTGGCCCCTGACTTCCTCCCCTCTTTCCTCCCTTCCTCCCTTCCTTCCCCCCTTCCTTCCTCCCTTCCTGTCCCTTCTTCCCTCCTTCCCTCCCTCCCTCCTTCCCTTTCTTCTTCCCTTCCTCCCTCCCTCCCTCCCTCTGTCCCTCCCTCCCTTCCTTCCTCCCTTCCTTCCTTCCATAGCAGCTAAGAGGCACTCCTGAGGCCCCCTAGGAATGCTTCTGGTCTGTCCTCTGACACACACAAGCAGCGTGTTCACGATTTTCCTTCCCTTGAGACAAGCAGGGGCTGTGGAAGTCCCATCCCCTGTCTGGGTCTCAATTTCCCCATCTGTAAACTTTGGGATTGGATGAGGGAATTCACAGGGCCACCCCTCAGCTCTCAGTTCCCATGATCTAAGCCTGGGCTTGGGGCAAAAAAGTCTGGATTCCACATCCAGTGGAATCTACCACTTATTCTGTAGCCAGTACAAGTCACTTTCCCTCTCAGACTGCAAAATGAAGGGATTTCCCCAGAATATTTGGGAAGCCTTTGCCCAGGATTTGCACTGCACATATTCTTGTTGAATGGAATGGAGAGGGTTGGATTGTAGCTTCTTTCTAAAGGCCAGCCAGTGCCTGACTTCTCTTCCTCCCAT